GAATGCCAGAGCCCTGAGCGGACATCCAGGCAGCCCTCGATAACCCCAGTGAAGGTGTTTATAAGCCCTGCTGACCGATGGCAGAGCCCGTATTGCGGCTCCCAGCTTACTGGCGGTACCGGCTCCAGGTTTCCCAGTAGCTCCAGTGACCGCTGGGACTTTGCCAGCTTGTTTTGAGATTACACAGCTTTTCTGAAACTTCTGCAATGCAGCCTCCCTCCCCTTTCCAAAAATGAAATCAGGAAAAAGAAAGCAAAACAAAAACACTCACTCATCTGTCACGTGGAAACACAACAGCAACCCTCGCTGGGGCTGCCAGTGCCGCCCGTCACATTGGAAATACAGCAGAAGAAAATCCCTTTTTGGGTTGTATGCACTGGACAGCAAGGATTGTGCTGGGTTTTACCCAAAAAACCCAGAGGAATCTTTTTTTTCCAGTGCTGACCCGTGCGTTCTGCCCTCCAGAGGCCACAAAACACCCACCAGCCCTCCTGGTTAATCCCAGCCCACCAAGACCCACTGCCACAAACACCCCAGCTGGGTGCTGGGACCCAAACCAGGGATTTGGGGTCAGTGGGGGCTCTGCAGCGGGAGGGGGACAGAGGGACAGGGATGCTGCTGGTCACAGGGCAGGGATGCAGGAGCAGGAGGTTGCACCAGGGATGGTTCGGGTACCGCCTAGGGTAGCAGGTCAGCGTGGGCTGGGGGGTGTCGGGCTCTGGGGTGCTCCCAAGAGGATTTAGGTAAAAAGATCCCACGGTGAGGATTTGCTTTGCTGAGACGAAGGCGTGAGCTGATGTTGTACAAGAGAAAAGCTCAAGGTTGAAGAGAAGGGAGAACGAGGAAGGGGGAGTGAGGACAGGGTGACTTAAGAGCTTCTTGGGATTTCTTTCTCAAAGCCATTACACCTTTTATTCACACAGCAAAATCAGCCAATAACAACCCCAACACTGTGCTTTCACCTCATTAATTTCCAGGTGATGGAACAGACCCTGGCCATGAGCAGCTCCTGTGGCAATAACACCAAGAGCCCATCCCTTGCCCAGGGCTCTCCCATCCCCACGTACCACTCTCAGCACGATGCTCTGCCCTCAGCCAGCCCAAGAGCTCAGCCCAGTACACCTCTGGTGATGATTTTGGCTGTGACAATTTCCTCCCCAGCACAGCGTGGTCCAAAACACCCCGACGGGGAGGGTGAGAGGCTGCAGCAGCGAGGAGAGCAGCCCCGATGACAACTGCACATCCTGAGCTTTCCACGGGCGATTAAATTATTTTGATGGTTTAATCCTTTACAACTGGCTTGGCCTGGAACTGCTTCATTGCTTTTATATCTAATGCGTCCATCCCTGCACACATACTGCACTTACATATACCTAAAATCACACTTAGGAATACCCAAGACGATGTCGCTTTCTAGGGCACAGGGAGGAAGGAGGGAAGGTTGCTTTTCTCTTTGCTAAAAATACCTCTCTCCTCCCTCCATGACCACACACTTCCAGTCCAGCCCCAGGAAAGTGACTTTGCCTCTGGAAAACCACTCCAGCAGCGAGCCGCAGCCTCGGGTGATTTTTGGCCCCGTGCTAAGAGCCAGCACCGCTGGCAGCCAGCTGCTCCATCCGCCCACCGCGCGGGAGAGAGGGGAGAGCGCCGGCAAAGGAACAAACGCACCGACAGCTCCGACTCCCGGCGTAACCTCAGCGCACAGACAGCGAATTCTGCTGCTTTCAACCAACCCCAGCCAGGCAGCGGTTTTCCAGACAGTCATGATTTCATCGGTCACGAGTCCAATTTTTTTTTGATTCATGGGCTCAGCCAGCAACACCCTGCAAAGCCCAAGTCACTGGTGTTCAATGGGACAGCACCAGTTTAGAGACCCAGGGGTGTCTCGTCCACTGCAGGGTCCTGCTCACGGCACAAGGGAAAGGGCTCTGGGGACTTGGTGTCAGTGCCACGGCTGCGTCCAGCACCGTAAGGGTTAGATCTCCTCCAAGAAACAGCCAAAGCCTCAATCTTG